GGGCCGCGCCCAGCCTCAGCAGCAGCCGCGCTGCCTCCAGCGCGCCTTCCCGGGCGGCCAGGAACAGTGGCGTCTGCCCCTGCGCGGGAGGAAACCGCCAGGGGCGGGGTGGGCGGAGGCCACGCCTGTAGGGCGGCCCTTCCTGACTCCCCCGCCTCGCTGCCGGTCCTCCCCCTCTGGTTTCGGGAAGCTCTCGCGCTGTTCCCCCGCCAGCACCCGTTTTGGGGGGCCCTCTACCCGGTCTAACCCTGCCGTCCTGGGCGTCTTTATCGGCTCCGGCCTGCAGGAGGGAACGGGCGGCCCGGGCGTTGTTCACGGCGGCGGCCCAGTGCAGAGCGGTTTTCCCTGGGGGACGACGTGGGAGGCTGTCACCCTGAGGCCCGGAGCCAGACGGAGGGGTTCCCGTTTCCCACGGACCCTGGCCTCGGGGGAAGGGCTGTTCGGGTCCGGGGCGCTCGGAGGCGGAAGCGTCGCCCGGGTGACCGCCGGCGGGCAGGAAGCATTGTCCCCGGTGACGTCACGGGCGGCGGGCGGGACAATGGGGCATTGTTCGCGGCCGGTGGGACCGGAGGCCCTGCACCTTCCCGCCGACGCTCCTCGGCGCCCTAGCTTGCGGTGGGCTGGGCGGTGTGTGCCGTGGAGGACGGGGGAAGACGCGGACTCCGCCCCGACGGCTGCTCCCTTTTTTTTGCATTTTATCTCACATCCCATCTCTATAGCAGTTTCTCTATAGCACACCCCCTCCCCAGATTCATACCCCATTTGTCTCTGGCCCCCACATCTGCTTGGGCTGCAATCAGTTCTTCAACCAGGTCCTCCACCGCCAGCTTGGCAGCCAGCATCAGGGCCGTGGTCCCATCCTCTGTCCTCGCATCCACTGCAGTCTGTCTGCTGCGGAGTAGGAGCTGGGGGCCAGAGAGGGCCAGTGACTCCTGGTATGTCCTGGCTACCAGCTCAGGCCCCTCACACAGTTAACCACCTCCCGGTCCATATTCAGCCATCTGTTCTCATTTCCCCTTCAAGTCCCCAAGCTCACATTACCTTCCTCTTTGCCAAACACTAGCGGATGCTTTTGCCCAGCTTTACTTCCAGATTTGCTCCCTTGTTCTCTTCAAGTGACCTCAGTGTGTACTGACCTGGCAGACCTCCCGAGCATCAGCAGCCACAGCGGTGTGAAGGGGGGTGCGCCCTGCTCTGTCTGGCTGGTTGGGATTAGCTCCAGCCTCAAGGAGGCGGTGGGCAGCCGTTGGCCGGGAGAATCGGGCAGCCAGGTGCAGAGGGGTCTCCCCAGTGCCCACAGTGTGAGCCTGGGGACAGGCCCCTCCATCTAACAGAGGTTCCCAGGGCTCAGAACTTTCCAGCCACACTCTCTGGAAGGTCCTGGTCTCCACTCTTCCACAGCAGACTGCTGACATCAGGGGTGTCATCCCATCTGTGGGTGGGAGACAAGTCGATTAAGAGGACATAAAGGGGGCACAGCCAGCGTGGCTCAGTGGTTGAGCATCGGCCTACGACTGGGAGGTCAGGGCACATGCCCGGCTTGTGGGCTCAGTCCCCAGTGGGAGGCATGAAGGAGGCAGGCGATCAATGTTGATGTTGTTTCTATCTCCCTCTCTCTAAAGTCAATAAAAGCATTAAAAAAAAAAAAAAAAAGGCATAAGGGGAGGGGCAGGACATGGACGCTCAGGTAGAATCACAGCCCGGAGGTGTCAGGAAGCCCAGCTCTGACTCTTGATTTTGTGTGGCTTTTACTTTTCTTCAGCCTTCAGTTTCCTCATCTGTGCAAAGAGCCAGCCGGCCTTAATTTGTCTAACATTCTAAGGCAGTGGTTCTCAAACTTGAGTCTGGATTAGACTCACCTGGAGGGCTTGTTCGAACAGATTCCCTAATAGCTTGACTATCTGAATCAGGAACTCTGGAGTGGAGCCTGAGAATCTGTATTTCCAACAATTCCCCTGGTGATATTGATTCTTCTGTCACAGGACCACTCTCTGAGTATCACTGTTCTAAGGCACTAACTACCATTTGCTTCTCCAGGGCTGATACCAAAGGATTTTCTCATTCTAAGCGTCAAAAGGATTTTTCCTGGTCTGGGCTGGCTCACGTACCAGGTCCATGGGTGTCCACATCAGGGATATCCATCTCAGATTCCTGCGGAGGGGTCAGCATGGCTGCCTGGGGGAGCTCCTGACAGTCATCACTCAGAGACCAGAGCTGGCACTTGGAGGCTGAGGCCATTTCTTCAGCCTTGGGATCAGAAAAACAACCAGTGAAGGAAGGTTGACTTGTCCCTTCTACCCTTCCATCACCTCAGGACCATTGCTGCCTCAGTGGCTCACCTGGCCTCCCTCCTCTCCTTCCTCAGGGCCCAAGCACATCACAACTCCATCCTCACCAACTTCGGCTTCTGGTTTCAGTGCCCTGGAAGAGGGTGGGTACCGGGTAGAGGGCCTTCAGGGTCCACAAGGTCTCCAGCAGCCTCCCGATCCCTTCCCCTTCCTCTGTCTTCAACTTCTGCAGTGGCATCTCTTGTTGCTTCTGATCAGAAATATCTCCACAGGCAGGAGTCCCCTCCCTGAGCCCCAGTTCCTCCTCACTCTCACTTGAGGCGGATGCTGTCCTCGCCCAGTGGGGGCCGGCGTCTGCGGGCAGCTGGCTGAGTACGAGGCCTTCGAGTGAACCCAGGGGGCAGCCAGAGGGCCCCATGCTCTCGGCGCCTCCGCCGGATGAACTGGAGGACCAGAAGGGCCCCGAGGGCTAGGAGAAGCACCCCGGCCGCCGGTGAGCACAGCACAGGCCAGGGAAGCTGGTTGGCGGGGGCCGCTGGTGGGAGAGACACAGTCAAAAAGGGGCCATTCCAGGTGAGGCTGGGTACTGCTGTGAGACCTTTGGGCCTCAGGCCCCTCCTCTGTAAAACAGGAATGACAGTAGCACCTGTCTCAATGGGGTTGTTGGGAGCATAAAAGGAGTCAGTACTGTGAGGCCCCCAGAGCACAGCCTGGCACGGGGTGAGTGCGATTAAGAGTTCTTATTCTTTCATGAGCTCTCAACTGGTTGATACAGGAATGAATGGGTACTCTCGGTTTAGTAGAGAGGAGGCACCAAAACCTGAGGTTTGTGGAGGTCTGTGGGAGAGGTTAGGATGGAGCCCTTAGGGAAATAAGGAAAGAGATTGTAGAGCAAATGGGCCATGGGGAGATCCAGTTAGCAAAAGAGAGGTTAACAAAGGTAAGTCCCCACGAAGAGCATTTGGGCCCCAGGATCCTGTTTCATTTGACCTCCATTGCTGGTTGCTGGCATGAAAGCTGACCTGGGAGCAGAGTTGGGAAATGATGGGGCCACCTACCGGTGCCTGCACGAGGGTGGGCAGCCAGCAGGGGGCCCGGCAGTAGGGGCTCCAGGGCCTCCACGGCGGCCATGGCAGCAAGGAAGCGGAGCAGGAACCCAGGGTCCCAGGGACAGCGGGATGCAGGGTGGTCAGGGCCACAGCGGGACAAATCCACACCCATCACCACCACAAACCTGTGGGGGAGGTACCTCAGAGACCCCTGTGCTGGTCTCTGGCTAACTTCCCTCCACCCATTAAAAAAGTGTCTGGCCTACCCCTCCGCCCAGCTTCTTACCCTGTGCTGAGGGAGTCTGTCTCCTTGCCCGCAGGCTGCTTTTGAGGGGCTGCTGTCTTCTGATGAGAGGGGTCTGGGATTCCTCCCAGCTCCTCTTCGGCCTGGGCCCCAGGATAGGGGTACACCATGTTCCTGCCATCACTATCCTTCCTCACCCAGAGCCCTACCCTCAGCGTCAGGGACAGTCCCCGGGCCAGGGCAAGCAGCTGCTGGTCCAGGGCTGGGGGGCTAAGCACCAGCAGCAGGGACAGGGAGGGCCCCCACTCTGAGCGCCTGTCCTCGGGCCTGCAGTCGCCTCCGTCCCAGCCACACTCGGGAGTGTCACAGCCTTTCTCGCAGTGCCCATTGTGGAAGTGATCACGGCAGAACTGGTCATAGGCTGGACTGGAGGTGAAGAGAGGGGGGGTCAGGAAGCCAAGAAAACCAGACTCCCTCCTTCATCCCAGAGAGGAGTCCCGATCTTCCACAGCCTCTAGGCACTTGCTAAGTAGGGGCAGCTCCACAGAAACGGGCTTAGGTCCTGGATGGTAGGTAGCCCAGACACCCTAATGTCTACTGTCACCCTTGTTTCTTAAGATCGCTGCTTCTCCCTACCCCTCCAAGCTCTCCTGTTTCCCTGAAGGTGAGACCGAGGCCCTTTTCCGTCAGGGGTACAGGTTGCTAGGGGAGCTACTCCATGGCAGCAGGGCTTAGAGAGAGGCTTGAGGCAGAGCTCTCACAACTCTCGGCAAGGAGCCCAGGCAGAGACAGTGCTGTTCTTGGTGCCCCATTAACCTGATGCTGCCCCATCCCCCTGGGCTGGAGTCTCCTACCCCTATTTGGCAGTGGTTACAATGGTGGAAGCTCCCTGGAATTTGAGGCTGTGGTCACACTATAACTCAGAAGCATCTATGTCGCTCTGCCCTCACTGTGCCCCCCACTCCAACTCAGGGTTTCAGGCTCACGTGCAGGCTGGAGGAGTCTCACAGTCATAGCCATCAAACAAACATTCTTCAGAGTCACACTGCGGGTGGCACTGCCCATCCCGGAAGAGAAGCCAGCAGCGGGAGTGGGAGGGGCAGCCCTTCCAGGGGTCCAGGACCCCTAGGGAGCAGTCTCCTCCATCCCAGTTTCCTCCTGGGCCACTGCAGCCAGCATCACAAGCCCCATCTCCACCTTTGCCCTCACATCCCTCTGCTCTAGGAATCTGACACCGGGGCCCGAGGGAGCTGGGAGGGCAGGAGCATCGAAAGCTTGGGCCCCCCGGCTTGGAGGCCTCTGAGCAGCTGCCGTTGTGTAGGCAAGGGGATGGAGGGCCACAGCCTTGAGGAGCAGGTGGGGTCAGGCAGTCAGGGCCCCTGTAGCCATTGAGGCAGGCACAGCGGGGTGGGAAGCCAGACTTGGGGGAGGGCAGACATAGACCACCGTGGTGGCAGTGATGGAGGCCGCAGGAGGGGGCTCTGTGGCTGCAGGTAGGGCCTTCAAAACCCTGCAGAGAGGAGAAGAGATGTTGGGAAGGGACCTTGTATGATTCTTCCCACTTTCTCTCAAGCAAACTCCTGGGTTAAGATAACTCGGAGGGTCCTAGAGTCTCATAACGGGAAGGGACCTCAGAGAACATCAAGTTGATCATTTTATAGATGCTGAAACCATGTCCCATGTTTTTTTCACACAAACACAGTACACAGTGGTGAAAATGGATGAGCCACAGCTCTGTGCAACAACCTGGATAGATTGTAGGATCGTGATGCAAGTCCTGGCAGACTAAGCCGTTAATAGAGTAATATTAATTGAACCTAGTATCTTAATCCTTGGAAATAGGATTATTACTTTCTCTTCCTCTGGACACGCGAGCGCGCGCACACACACACACACAGAGTTAAAGAACTAAGCACTTATCCAAGGGCACCTGGCTTGGCTTTGGGGACCTTCCCGTAGGCATTTATTTGTACTACCACCTGATCCTGTCCCCTCACCCCCTGTTTGCTTCTGAGAGCCACTCACTTCTGTGAACAAGGGATGGCTTTCTCCAATAATTCCCACTCCAGTGTCCCAGGCTCCCCGTAGGGTCCCAGCTCAGGCTTTCGTACCTTGTGTCAGTGTTGGGAGCAATAGAGAAGGCAGCTTTGCAGTCACTCACCTGGGGGCAGTGGCAGGTGAAACCCGGGGGCAGTCCTTCTGTGGCCTTACAAGACCCTCCATGGGAGCAGGGCTGGCTCTGGCAGGGGTCTATCTTTACTTCACACCACTGGCCTGCAGTGTGGGTGGGATTAGATGTCACACACTGCTTTGGTCACTGCCTCCTTTTTGCTCATTCCTGGGAGTCTGCCCAGCACTAGCTGCACAGGTAGAGGGATCCTGGGGCACATTCTCTGGGCTGGGGTGCAGAGGCAGAGGGCTGGACAAGGTGACTAGGCTGCCTTGTAGGGAGTGATTATCTGGGTTTCCATGGTCAGCTCAGCTGTGCCACAGAGATGCCTATACCCCACCCCACCCCACCCCATACCAGGCGTCACCTGTGTGCCCAGGCAGACACTGACAGTAGAAGGCGTTGGCTAGAGAGTGGCAGGCTGCGGTGCCCGTGGGGTGGCAAGGTTGATCCAGACACTCGTCCACATCCCCCTCACAGCGCAGCCCCACAAAGCCTGGAGGGCAGGCACAGTGGAAACCTCCAGGTTTGGGGGTGCAGGTCCCATGGTTGTGACAGGGCTGGGATTGACAAGCGTCAGGTTCCTTTGAGCAGTTCTGTCCATAGTAGCCTGGGGCGCACTGCAGGCAAAGAGGGTCAGACAGGGAACCGGGAAGCGAGCCCCTCCCAGCACTGCAGGGGACCCAGCTCCAGAGAGTCTGCCAACCCCCACCTTCCAGTTCAACAGTGTCATTCAACTCACCAGCCACCACGGCCCCGTGTAGCTTAACCCATCTCAACCCACGACATAAAATTGTTCAATGACACACAAGTTTACCCCCCACCCAGACCCCCGCTCCAGTCCCAAACAATCTTTAGGACACACTGCCGCTAAACATTAGCTCCAGTTTCTGTAGAACCTCTCTTCCCAACCGCACACCCACCGCGCTGTGCCACGCTTCATTAATTTGTGGGCATTTACTGAATGCCCACTTAGTCCCAGCAGCCATGTTAGGCAGTAGGAGTACAAAGAAAACCAGAACTCGCCCCTGCTTCCGTGAAGTGCTCAGGCAGCCAGGAGGGCGGCAGCTAGCACTTCTTGCATGATTTATTTGCATAACCTCATAAAATCATCCTAAAAACCCTTTATATAGATGATCTCATTTGATTCTCACTTCACAGGAGTGGAAACTGATTCCTTGAAAGATTAAGTGACTTGTACAAGTCACACAGCCGGTAGGTGATAGAGCTGGGACTCGATGCAAGTCTATGGCTTCATAAGCGGTGCCCTTAACCAGTTTCTGACTGTTTCATATTCTGCTGGAACGAGGAGTTGTTCACAAGGTCTGTGCCATGTGCTGAACTCTTGCAGGAGGAAGGCGAGCATGCAAGAATGGGATCCTAGGAGGCTTCACAAAGACGGAGAAAAAGGGATTCACAAAGAAGTGGCCAGAGGGCTGGAAGAAGCAGATGAGGGGGGTGTTTTGGAAACTTCTGGAGGGAGTTTCATGAAAGAGAAAGTAAAGCTGAAACAGGTGCATGGGGGTTCCTACTGATGAGTACACTGCTCTTGTGTGTGTGAAAATGCTCACAATAAAGAGAAAGAGAGTGGTTAGGGGAAGTGCATGGTGCTTCTATCCAAAGTCTTCGTTCTATACCAGGAGCGGGCTGCTCAGACTTGAATCTCAGCGTTGCCTCTCTAGCTCCATGACTTGACCACCAAGGAGAGGCCCGAGCCCAGTCTGGACATGTTCCTGAGGAAAGTGCCTCCTGGGCACCATCCAGAGGGAGAGGGCTGGGAGGGCCACCGGAGAGCCAGGAGGGGGTGTGCACGGAAGCCCGAAGCAGTTTCGTGTTGCTGAAGCAGAGGGTGGAAGGTGGAGACATGAGGCCTGAGAGGCAGGCAGGGCTGGGTCTCAAGGGGCCGTGGACTTCACTGGGAAGGCGGTGGGCAGCCACCGGACGGTTTGAAGCAGGGGAGTGGCAGGCCAGCTCAACACTTTCAACAGAGCACTCTGGTGGCGGAGTAAAGGCTGAACAAGTATGGAGACAGGGACGGAAGGTCTGGACTACGGCCGGGGACGAAGGGCGGAGGGACAGAGACAAAACTGAGGAAGATTTAGGAGGTGAAATGGCACGACTTGTTGGTTGGCTGGATGTGTGGGGTCAAGGGAAATGGATACATCACCGCCCCCCCATGACTACTGCTTCCCATGTCCAGCCCACCCTTGTTACCTGGACCCCCTCTCTTCTAGACCTGCTCACCTGGCAGAGATACCCGTTGGGCTGGGCCACGCAGGTGGCCCCATGTTGGCAGGGCCTGGACTGGCATGGGTTCACCCTGTCCTGGCACATACTGCCTTGGAATCCAGGGGGACAGTGACAGAAATAGGAGGGGCCACTGTCGATGCAGAGGCCTCCGTTCTGGCACAGGAAAGAGACTTCTGTGCCTGGGGAGAGAGACAAACAGGGACCAGGAAAGCTAAGTGGGGTGGAAGGTGCTCAGGCCCAGACACTGAGCCGAGAGGCCTGTGGGGACCACTAACATTCCCGGGGCAGGTGGAGTCCATACTTCCTGACACAGTCCCCCTCCTGCTGACTCTGCCAGAACGGAGGGAGAGCCTTCTTCTGAGGCTTATCAGAGCATAAGTTCTGCACCCTCCGGTGTTCCCACTGTTACTGCCATTAACCACCCCAACCCCGCAGGTCTCCTTTCTGAGGCCTTCTCATGCACACCTCACTCGAACGGGGCCTATTCTTTCACAAGGGGCTTGGTGTGGCATCAGATGTGTGGGATGTGGAGAAATGTGTTGAGTGTAGTTGGGTTAAATGTGGTCCACTCTAGCTGAGGTGATGATAATGACAGGGTTGAGTTGCTCCACACTGAGTTAGTCCCTGGTGGTTGTGTTAAACTGGAGTCTTGTTGACCGAGCTGGTTGGTGTTTTTTGAGCTGCGCTGAGTGTGGTGCTAGGAGCTGAGTTGTGTGAGGAGGCCCCGGTGCTGGGCTGTGGGGTCAGTCACTGTGGTTGGTCTGTGTTTCTTTGACTCTCAGTCGGTTGTTTTGTTGGCCAAATGTGTGAATGACCTTAGGGATGGGATAGAGGAGGGCACCTTTTTTCTCTTCATCTGCTCCCCAGTCAGTCCTTGGCTTGGTACCTTGGCTCAGGGCAGCCTTCTGGCAGGAGGACAGCGGGACTTCACAGAGACGCCCAGTCCATCCCTGGAGGCACAGGCACTGGAAGGAGGGCCCGGTTTGGAGGCAGTGGGAGTTGCGTGGACAGGGCTTCTGGGCACATAAGTCCATCAGAGTCTGAGAGTTTGGAGGGAGCAAGAGGCCGGACAGAGCATCAGGATCCCAGGCCCAGAGATGGTCCTCTGCCAGCTCCAGGTCCTCAAAATCCCTTACCTCTGACCCTCTCCCTGGTGTGCTTTGCTACCTACATCCCAGAACAGTCCCTGGAGTCAGACTCCCTCAGCCCTTCCCTTCCATACAGGCCTCAAGGCCTGGGCTTCCAAACCCCTCTCTATATGGGCACCTTCCCTAACTTCCCCGCTGCCCACCTTTTAGTGCTTGAGACCCTCTCACTAGAGCCCCCCAGCCCCTCTCTCCTCAGCACACTTGGCTCAGTGCCCCTCACCTGACAGCTGCTTCCGGTGTAGCCAGCAGGGCAGAGGCAGCGGAGGCCCTGGGGTCCCTCTTGGCAGGTAGCCCTGTTTCTGCAGGGGCTGGACAAGAGAGAAAGCAGGAGGGAGGTCCGGGGAAATAAGGGGAGGGAGTGTGATGTGGCCGGAGGGCAACCTCTGGGGAGATGGGAGACCGGAGGGAAGGTCGAGTGAGGGATGTGGGATGTGGGATGTGGGATGGGAGGCAGGGGGACCCCAGAGGAGGTGGAGGGGAAGGAAGGAAGGCTGAGGGCCCCCCCTTCTTCCAGGGGTCTTTGCCCCTGCTCACCTGTCTGCACAGCTGGGGTGGATCCTTCCCTCACAGCGTGGGCCCTGGAAGCCAGTGGCACAGGAGCAGGAGAAGGTGCCAGGCCTGTTCACACAGGTACCCCCATTGAGGCACGGGGCTGGAGAGAGGAAGCTGTGAGGGGTTGGGTTTCTTGCCTATAACCTGGCCTGTGACCTCAGTCACACCACATATGGGACATCACCCCCACCCCCATGAGGACGCCAGCTCACTGTTTCCAGTTTTTTTACTCTCCACAAGCACACGCTGACCATTGCCCTGTGGCCCAGCCCTGGACACGGTGGGCACTCACCAGAGGCACAGTGGTCGGTGCTGGTCTGGCAGCGGGGCCCGGTGTGGCTTGGAGGGCAGGTGCAGGAGTAGCCCCCAGGGCTGGGGCTGCAGGAGCCACCATTGAGGCAGGGTCCCGAGTGACAAGCTGTCACCTCCTCAGTGCAAGCGGGCCCTGGGAAAGGGACCCTCCTTTTCTCCTCTGCTTTCATCCCTCCCCCCTGTCTGCCCTTCCTTCCTTCATCCCTACCCCTACTCTTCCCAACCAACAGCTTTTCTTTTCTCACCACCTCCCACACACCTGTATCCTCGGCGGCCCGTGCCCAGTTTTCCTTGGTGGTGACAGAGACTGAGGGCCCTTTGTCACCTGTCTCCACTGGCCTTGCCCTTCGTTGGCCCAGGGTGTGTATGGTTCAAGGAGCGCCTCACCTGTGTAGCCTGTGGGGCACGTGCAGTTGTAGCCAGAGGGCTGAGGGTGGCAGGTTCCCCCATGGGCACAGGGCGTGGAGATGCAGCCTCCCAGCTCTGCCTCACACTCTGGTCCTGTCCAACCCACGTCACACACACATGAGGATCTGGGCATAAAGAGAAAGGGGAGGTGTTTTTCTTCTTGCCTCCCCCTTGGTCAGACCCCTGTGACCTGTTCTTTTTTGGCCCTGAGACTCTGGCTCTTTCTTCAGTGCCTTTGCTCTCAGCATGTCCCCCTTTCGCCTTTCCCAAGGCTCATCCTCTCCTCTGTTCTGTGCTGTCCCCAGGCCCTAGAACAGTGTCCATGCATAGCAGATGCTCAGATGCTCAGGAACGTTTGTCTAAGGAACGATGAATCAGCCTGGGATTTAATGATGTTTCTGCTCTGACCCCTACTTCTCTGTTTCCCCCATTATTTATGATCTCTCGCCTCGTTGGACAACACTCACCAATCCAGCCCTGCCCTTGGCTGTGACCTCAGAACTTTGCCCTCTCCTTGCTGTTCCCCATTGGTCATTTCCCACAGACTTACCCCTCACTGGCTGTCTTCTCCCACCCTAGCTGAGGACCAGGCGAGTGCAAACGGGAGGGTCTGGAAGGCGTTACCTCTGACAGTGCCCGTGCTGGCAGGTGCAGTTGTCCTCAGCTGGGGCACAGCCGGGGCTTCCGTCTGGGCAGAGGCAGTGGTCCGTGTCCCCCTGGTGCTGGCAGTTTTGCTTGGGCTTGCACAGGTTGGGGGCACAAAGGGGAACCTCACAGAGATGACCTGGGGTGGGGAGATGGGTCAGAGAGAAAACACGGTCCATCCATATCCTTGATGGGGCCAAAGGTCACTTCTTATATACGACATGCTCACTGCTCAGGAACCTGTCCTTTGGTGGCTCCCTATTGCCTCAGGAGACTATAACTTCCTCAGAATGGCCCCCGGGGTCTTTCAGGACAAGTGGGCCTCACCTTTGCACCATTGTACCCTAAGCTCTGGGTGTCCTTCCCCTGCCCCCCCGCACGTGCGGCTGCCTGAAGCTGAAACATGCTCTTTGGCCTTCTATCTTGACAGGCTCCTCCTCATCTGTGAGGCCTTCTCACCCCTGCACTGGTGGGTCCTTTGAGTCCTAGGGTCCTGCACATTCCGCTCTCAGAGCCCTGCTCTGGGCCGTCATCACCAAGACACCTGTTGCTCTTTCTGCCCTAGATTTAAAGCCACTGGAGAAGGGCAACTCTCTTACTCAGCTTGTCTGTGTCCATCATGGCCAGCACTTAATAAGTGCTTGCTAAACAAGCAAACGAGTGGCTTCCCCTTGAGCCCTGTCCTCTGCTCCTAAACCCAGATCACACCACCATGATGGACCCGACGTGAGCCCTCCAGTAACACCGCCCTGGCCCGTGGCTGTGCAGCCATGAGTACAGGTTCCATTCTCATTCTAGTCTCACATCCCAACCCTCAAACACCCACCAAAGACCTCTTCTCCACCCCAAATGACACAAAGGTCCCCACCACTCCTTGCCAATGCTTGCTCTGCTGACCTGTGAAGCCAGAGGGGCAGAGGCAGAAGAAGGCTCCTGGGAGGTCAAGGCAGCTGGCACCCGTGGGGCACGGGCCGCTCAGACACTCGTCCACCTCGGCCTGGCAGCGCCGGCCTTCAAAGCCTAGGGCACAGGGACAGCTCAGGGCCTGCAGAATTCTGTCCCTGGCCCCACTCTCCCTCCAGCTTCTGAGCCCAGTTTACCTGGGAGACATTCACAGTGGAAGGACCCTGGCTGGTCCTGGCAGCGCCCGCC